TTCTTGATATAATACGGTTCGAAAAATCTCAATCGAAAAAAACCCAATCGTTTGATTTGAAGGAGGTCGGCAGTCTGAATTATGGCCCTAAACCCGCAATTGTACGGCAACGGGATGCCGGTAGCATTCGTCAACGAGATGTTCGTCTTAATCAGAGACGGAATTGAATTCGAGATCAACAAAATCCACGGGTGAGTATAACTTCCATTTCTCAATTCACAATGTTATTGTGCTGTTTCGCCGGATGATGATGATTGATCCATGTGTTTGAATTGTCGAATCAAAACCTAAACGTAAGGATTTCTTGTTGAAGTTGCTTTTGGAATTTTTAGTAATAACTCGACTGATAATTTCCATCGACGAACGGGATCCTGAACAACGATTCTGTTTCATATCTCAAGTATTAACAAGAACGAAACAAGATAAAATCAAATTTTCAAGAACCATAACAGGGGAATTAGATTAATAATGTCTTCAAAATTCTAGTTTGAACAAAACCTAACATTTTTATATAATTTGTTCAGGGCTCGTGGAGGAACCATTAAAACAAAGGGTAAACTCTTTCTGTCAAATGTCCGCATGGTTTTTGTTGCTGATAAACCTCCTACAGATTTCTTCTATGCTTTTGACATGCCCCTGGTATGAAAAAAAAAAACCTTTCATCTTGTTACTTAAAATGCATAAATCATCTAAATCTTTCTTCCTTTTTTCTGATGCATTCTTCATTCCTGCAGCTTTATGTGCATGATGAAAAGTTTAATCAACCAGTCTTTCACTGCAACAATATATCTGGACTTGTAGAGCCTGTAAGTAGATCAAAACAATCATTTTCATTTAAAAAAAATCATCCCTTTAATTATCTTATTGAATTATTTAAAACTGCAGGTGGTGGCATATGATCAAAACAGGGAAATGTACCCTACTCACTCTTTCAAGATTCTGTTTAAACATGGAGGTTGTGGGACATTTGTGCCCTTGTTTTTCACCTTGATAAAATCAGTGAGACAATATAATCAACAATTTCAAGCTGGAAATGATCCTTTAAGAGCAGCCCAAACTCCAGTTGATGAAATGATGCATGCAGCGTAAGCATTGTTTCTTGTTTATTTGATTTGTTTTAAATCTATAGAAGTTTACAGTTTACCCCCTTCATGTTTCTGATTGTTCAGTTTTCCCCCTTTCTGTTTGAGCAGATATGTTGATCCTAGTGATCCCACAAAGATCTTTCTGCAGCAACCTGGTTCAGAAACACATAAGCGGGACACATACCATTCTTAATCTGAATAATTGATGTATGAATCTTTTTTAGTCTAAATTAGGTTTGTATTGATACATTTGAACATAAATTCTAGTAAATATTGTATATTTTTGGTTGGTTTGTTTTAAGTCGAGAACAATTTTAAAATTTGTTTAAACTGGTGATTTTGTTTTCCATTTGGTGAATGTTATTTGCTAACTTAGTCTGGTTATTACTGTGAACGATCACCTAAAATCTCAACGTGTGATTTTAGAGCATAATTTTGAAATATGATTATAACAAATCAAGAAGCTAATTCAATTACCTCAGGTTTTTCTCAGTTGAAAATAAAAAATGGTGCACATATTCTTGTTATAATGATAAATATATGTGTCTAGAGTTCCTTAATTTGCTCAATTTAGGATGTTCAATGTCATCCACAATCCATGGTATTTTGTTGTGGATAAAACTTTAAAGGGTTCTGTTTTAGGAGTTATGGATTCCTAGTTTTCATAACTTCTCTTTTAAAGGAAGAAGCATGAACAGGGTCGGTCCCAAGCTACGGTAGGTCCAGGACAAAAGGAAAAAAAAGGTCCCTCAAAATCATAAATAAAATAAAAATTAGTTCGAAATAGAATGCTATAAAATTCACTATTAATATTAAAAAACGCAAATATGATCACAACTAATTTAAAGGAAAATATTTCTCGTAGTCTTTCTGGATGCAAAATCATTAATAATACTATCCAAATCAATTTTATTTAACATGTCTTTCTCTATACATAACCATTGTCAATCCATTCAACATTTCTTGCGACGTCGATGATCTTTAGATAATTCTTCAATAACTTTAATTTTGTGCAGATGCAATAGTGACATGAATGGTTAACAAAATGCTATATGCAATAAAAGTTTTTGGGTAACAATCAATAGTTTTAACAAAGTCCAAAATTTCAACAACGGAAATTATATCATTAGGTAAAGTCATTTTCAATGCTTTCAATTCTAAAAAAAATTCACTTGAAAATTTTTCTTTAGAAAAAATAGTAGCAAACTTTATACAACTTTCTTTAAGTTCACTTTCACTTAATGACTTTAATTTCTTTGAACTTCAAAGTATTTTAGTTGTTCAAACTATTTTTTAATGAAACAATTAATATATACACAACAACCAAAAAATAATTAACTTTTAAATATTGTTCAACCGATTGTGTTTCTTCTTCATGATCATTTTCATCAAATTGTTTTTTTTCTAACAATACGACATTTTGATGGAAATGTAGGCTCTACGCTCATATCAAGTGCAATAGTTTTAGCAATATTCATATTTAATGTAAAACCTTCATTTCTATAATTTTCAAAAAAACTTTATAATATTTTCTATTTGGTTAATAGTAGTATCAATACAAATAGATTTTGATTGCAACCTTTTTACCTACAATATTAATTGCAAAGAAAACTTCATACCAAATAACCATACCAACTAAAAATTCAAATTTCCCAAAAGATTTAAGTAACCTTTTAGCTTCACTTTTTGACTTTGGGTCATCACATGTATTACTTAATTTTAGCAAAGCAACCTTTATTTGAGGATCTTGAAATCTGATTGCTATTATACTTTTAATCCTACTTTCCCAACGAGTATTAGATAATGATTTTAAGGTTAAAGTTGGAACATCATCTAACAATTCCAAAAAGTGAAACAATTTTTCACAAGAAAGTGTCATATCACTAACCGTAAGGTTAAGACTATGGCAAACACAATGCATATATAAAGCTCTACGATTAATTCCAAGCATTTTTTTTAACCCCTTGGTGTAATCCTTACATTTAGACCCATTATCATAACCTTGACCCCTTATATTATCCACATTAAGATCTAACAATATCAATGCATCTAATAATTCATTAAAAAGTCTCAAACCATAAGTATTATCTACTTTTAAAAATTCTAAAAAAATATTCAAAAACTTGTGTTTTTTAGAAGAAAAATTAACACATCTTACAATCAAAGACATTTTGCTCTTGATGGCTTATATCGGGAGTACAATCAAGAATTATAGAAAATAATTTTGCCTCTTTAAGTATTTTAATGATAGAATTTCTAAACGTGTCACCTAAAATAGAAATTATTTAATTTTGAATTTTATAGCCAAGATAATGATGATGAGTTTCATGATTTTCAATTCTTCTTATATGATCTTGCATTATACCATCATATTCAATCATCATTTGGATTACTCCTAAAAAGTTATCATTGTTATCTTGAAAAAGTTTTTCATTTGACCCTCGAAAATCATTTGACCCTCGAAAAACCAAAATTATATTTAGATAAGAATTTTACAGCCGCTATTATTCTTTTTAATCTTTTTCTTTTATTATTTCTTGTTGTAATTCGTTATTAATTGTAAGGTTTTTATCTAATCTTAGTTTTGCTTCATTCCAATTACTCATGCAAACAAAATATGTTCATTACTATTTTCATTATCTTTAAGTCTTTCACTAAGATGTTTCTAAATTCCAATCATTATATCCTTCATTTGATAAAATACTTTTTTGATTAGTAGATTTAAATATTTTACAACACAAACAAAATTTTATCTAAATTTTTATAGTATAATAGCCATTTTCGATCAAATGACAAACCATTATTTAACTTTCTAGTATAAATTGCATAAGAAAAATGTTTAGAAAATTTATCTTTAGGAAACACAAGATTCATTTATCTTATTGGCTCTTTTTCAATTAAAATATCTCTTGATTTAATATTAAGAGTATCCCAAATTCTAGGGTCAAAAATATCTATAGATTCATTTATATTAGTATTTTCTTCATTTATATTATTATCATGTTCATTTAAATTAATATTTTCTTTATTCAAACTAGCAACATTTTCATTTATGTTTTTATCTTATCCATTCAAATTAATATTTTATTCATTCAAATTATTATCATTTTCATTTAATTAATGTTTTCTTCATTAACACTAGCAACATTTTCATATAAGTTAATATCATGTTCATTCAAATTAATAATTGTTTTCATTAGAACTCATTGGTTTTAAAAATTTAATGATAAACCCTTTTTCTTTTTGTAAAGAAGCCTCAACAATTTTTCGTTTTTTTCGTTTTTCACTACCGGATAAGTGTTTTTTGAGAAAACATTATATGATTGACAATAAAGTAAAAACTACTTTAAGAAAACAATACACCTGATTTCTTTGATTTCTTTGTGAAATATGTTGAACTGTTGAAGCCTAATATCAAAACAAGCTGTAAAACTCAATAACAAAAAACATTAATACAATAACTAAAATAATATAAAAAAATCAAATAACCAATACATCATATTACAATGTTACATTGTCAATTACTCAAGTCAAATATCTAATAGTGTAGTAATAATTTGAAGCTGAAATTCTGAAAGAATAAAGTCAGAATCAAAACATTAGAAATTTTGAAGGTAGAAACATTTATTTTCACTAATTCATAAATATGTTATGGTAAAAGAATAGAAAAAATTGCCAAATAGGTAACTTAAAATTCAAAATGTCTTTCATAATACTAAGCAGAATATCCAAAATATCTAAAGCAAATAATAATATCATGGATTTCATATATAGATTTGTTAGTCTTATGACAAATCAAAAAAAAAAAAAATACAGAGCATAATATGGGAAATCAAGGCACTACTCAATATCAAAATCTAGTAAATTGCTAAAGCATCCCAAAAAAATAAATTTGAGATTTGAGAATTGAAACTGAATTACTAAGCAAAAGGCTAGAAATTAAAATGAAAAACTAGATATTCAATTGAATTGAATCAATTTGATACAGAAACAAAATTTTCCTAAATTAGTAAAACAAAAATCTGCTTCCCTAATACTTCATATTCCTCTTTACTTGAATCTAATGCAACAAACAAATTGAATGTGAATTAAGAAACTGAAATCGACAATTATCTAGTGTCCTTGTCCCTGTGTAGGCGTTTCAATATTAGTTTATTTTTAGTCTTCACGCCTTCTGCAACTGTAATTGTGACATTCCCATTTTCACGGTCAAAAAAGACCGATTTTGTTTATGCTTTATAAAAATCAGAGTACCTCTTTTAATAAATATGCTAAGGAATTTGTTCCCAGTAAAACATGATAAATATGTTATCAAAGCATTTCCTAAGAAAAGTATTTTTATTCATTTTAAAATATTTGGGATGTCATCGTCAATACAGAAACATAAGCATAAATAGAACTTACATTCATTATCACTAGTGATTTATATCTCCTTAATCTCTGAGTGTAATATGACTTCATATCAACACATGTGATATAAATAAACTGAGTATGTCAGGGTGGGAAACCTGGTGAGTATATAGGGTTTTCAACCCATAATAATATAATTATTATGTTTAATCATCCAACAATTAACCCAATTACCCACCCCCAATATCTTCTTTATTCTTAGGGGTCAATCCTAAGAATCATTTATCCTACATTCCTTCAATCTGAAGTCCATTGCTTCCAGAGTTTATATGATAGGCACTAAGTCCATAACTGCCAATGCTTGTTCGTAAAGCATTAATTCCATAGCTGCTAAAGTTCATTCATCGAGTGCTAAATCCATAACTACCAGTGTTTATCTAATAGGTACTAAGTCCATAGCTACCAACGTTTATCTAACAGGTATTAAGTCCATAGCTACCAACGTTTATCTAACAGGTACTAAGTTCATAGCTACTAACGTTTATCTAATAGGCAATAAGTCCATAGTTGTCGATGTTATTTATTAGGCACTAAGTCTATAGCTGCCAATGTTCACTCATATCATCTTTCATCTCTCATCATTCATCTATTCATGTTTTACCCAACATATTCGTAAATATAAAATACATATACAATTTAAATTATTTAAAACTTGTATAAAATCGTTCATCCAGCATAGATAGCAAGTATACAGGTTATATGCACACATAGCACGTAATTTATATAAAATACTTCATATCTATGTGTAAGATGAAAGTAATTATGCAGTCACTTGTTAAAGTGATGATTCCAAACTTGGGCAGCGCTTCGCTTTTAACGATTCTATTTTCTTTCGACGAAACCTAGCATTATTATCGCTAAGTTTTAGTCTAATCTTTATTGCGACTAATTATTAGTCTAGATTCATCATTAACTCAAAGTCTACTTTCATGATCTATCAGGTAAGGAACAACCAGATAGGATCATATCG